ATGTATACAGAGTCATTGTACCTAAAGGAATTGGCAGACAGAGAAGAGTTTTATGAAACAACATATGAGCAAGAGCCTATGGAGATAAAGGAAGAAGGTCAAGCTGCTCTAAAACAATTGGCAAAAAACAAGACATGAGGACTAGATGGTATACCAACTGACATATTTCAACCAACAGATGTTGCCAACAACAAATGTGCTCACCAACTTGTGTCAAACAATCTGGAAGACAATCACTTGACCAACTGACTGCAAGAGATCTATATTTGCTTCCTTTCCAAAGGAAGGTAACCCAACAGAGTATGGAAATTATTGAACAACATCATTGATATCACATGCAAGTAAGATTCTGCTGAAGATTATCCAAAACGACTGGAATAGCACATCAACAGAGAACTGCCAGAAGTGCAGGCTACGTTTAAAAGGGGTCGTGGTACTAGGGATATTGTAGCTAATATTAGATGGATTTTGGCTGAAAGCAGGGAATACCAGATGAGTGTCTAACTGTGTTTAATTGATTATGAAAAGCTGTTTGACTGTGTGGATCATAACAAACTGTGGATGACTCTGAGAAGAATGGAAATCCCAAAACACTTGATCATGCTAATGTGAAGCCTATACTTGGATGAGGAGGCAGCTCTCAGAAGAGAGCCAGGAAATGCTGCATGATTCAAAACTGGGAAGGGTGTACGCCAGGGATATGTCCTATCTCCACACATTTTCAACCTATATGCAGAACATTTTATCTGGGAGGCTGTGCTATATGAGGAGAAGTGTAATATCAGGATTGGAGGAAGATTCATCAATAATATGAGTTATGGAGATGATACAACCCTTCTTGCTGAAACTGAGGAGGACCTGAAGCACTTGCTACAGAAGGTCAAAGACTGCAGCCTTCGATAAGGATTGAGGCTCAATATTAAGAAAACAAAAATTCTAACCACTGGGCCAATTGGTAGCATCAGGATGGATGGTGAAGAGATTGAGATTGTTCACAGCTTTAGTTTTTGCTTGGCTCCAAAGTCAACACCCTTGGTACCAGCAGCCAGGAAATGAAAAGACACACTGTGATGGGAAAGTCTGCTCTTAGGGACCTCTCCAAAGTACTGAAGTGCAGTGGTGTCACTCTGGAGACTAATGTGCACCCAACACAGGCCATAGTCTCTGCAATCACTTGCTATCCATCAAAGAGCTGGAGGATAGAAGGAGAATTGATGCCTTTGAGCTGTGCTGTTGGAGAAGAGTATTTAATATACCATGGACTGCTGGGAGAACTAACAGGCTCCTCCTGGAGAGGGTTAAACCAGGCTGCTTCTTAAAGGCAAGCATTCTGAAGCTTCTGACATACTTTGGCCATGTTTCAAGGAGGGACCAGTCCTTGGAGAAAGACATCATGCTTGGGAGGGTGGAGGGACAGTGCAGGAGAAGAAGACTCTCTATGAGGTGGATTGATTCAGTGACTGAGGTAATCGGGGTGGGTGTATCGGGGACAGTGAGGCTGGCACAGGACAGAGTATGTTTTAGGGTTGTTGTCACTATGCGTCGCAGGCGACTCGACGGCACATAACAAACTATAATAACTGGGGTAGTGGAGGTTGTTTAGTTGGAATCAGTGAGAATGGCTCAGGACAGCAGTACATCGGGGCATACAACAACAACATATTGTTGTTATGTTGCTGTTATTGCTACATGCCGTAAAGTCGCTTGTGACTTATAATGACCTATGTACAAGAGCCCTAAACACTGTTCTTTCCTGTGCCAACTTCACCGTCTCTGACACACTCACTCCCACCACCTCAATCAGAGAATCGATCCATCTCATCAAGGGTCTTCCTCTCCTGTGCCATCCCTCCACTCTCCCAAACATGATGTTCCTCTCCAAGAACCAGTCCCTCCTTGCAACATGCCCAAATGTCAAGACGAAGCTTCAGAATCCTTGACTCCAAGGAGCAATCCAGCTTCACTCTCTCCAGGACAAACCCGTTTGTTCTCCTAGCAGTCCATGGTATATTCAACACTCTTCTCCAGCACCACAGCTCAAAGGCATCAATTCTTTTTCTAACAAACCTATTCACTGTCCAACTCTCTGATGCATAGCACGTAATTGTGAAGACTACAGCCCGAATCAGGTGCACCTTAGTCCCCAGCCTGATGTCGTTGCAGTTCAGTACTCTTGAGAGGTCCCTCACATCTGACTTTCCCAATGTAATTCATCTCTTGATTTCCTAGCTGCTGGCACCAAGAGTGTTGACTGTGGAGCCAAGCAAACTAAAACTGTTAACTATCTCAATCTCTTCAGCATCCATACTGATGCTGCCAATTGGCCCAGTGGTGAGAATCTTTATTTTCTTGATGCTGAGCATCTTTCTTGAAGACTGCAGTCCTTGATCTTCTGCAGCAAACGCTTTAGGTCCTCCTCAGTTTCAGCAAGCAGGGTTGTATCATCTGCATAACACAGGTTGTTGATGATTCTTCCATGAATCCTAATGCCACATTCCTCCTCGTACAGCCCAGCGTCTCGGATGATCTGTTCTGCATACAGACTGAAAAGGTATGGAGACAAAATACATCCCTGACAGACCCCCTTCTTGATTTTGAACCATGTAGTGTCTCCTTGCTCTTTTCTGACGACTGCTCTTGGTCCAAGTATAGATTTCACATAAGCACAATCAAATGTTCTGGGATTCCAATTCTTCTCAGAGTCAGCCAAAGCTTATTGTGATCCACATAGTCAAAAGCCTTTGCATAGTCAATGAAGAACAGACAGGCATTCTTCTGGTATTCTTTGTTTTCTGCTAAGATCCATCTAACATTAGCTATAATATCCCTAGTACCACGACCTCTTCTAAATCCAGCCTCCACATCTGGCAGTTCTCTGTTGACATGTTGCTTCAATTGTTTTTGGATAATTTTCAGCAGACTATTGCTTGCTTATTGTATTAATGATACTATTTCATAGTTTCTGCACTCTGCTGGGTCACCTTTCTTCGGAATGGGAACAAATATAGATCTTTTCCAGTCAGTTGGCCATATGGGTGTCCTCCAGATTTCGTGGCACAACTTAATGAGCATATCCAGGGCAGTGTCTGCTTGTTGAAATATGTCAACTGGTATGCTGTCAACTCCTGGAGCCTTGTTTCTGGCCAATTCCTTCAGACATATTAGGCATTGTTTTATTTATGTACTATTTTATTTAAGCCTTAACACTCCTATCAGTTAGGTTATTATGGCTCTTCTCCTTTGTATGTAAGACATGAAATATTAAATAGTTGAATAGCATTAAATTTTATGTTTTTGTTGTTGTTAGGTGCTGTACGTAGATTTTGACTCATTGCAACCTTCTGTACAAAAGAACAAAACATGGCTTGTCCTGTACCGCCGAACAACTCCTTCTGCGCTTGAGTCCTGTTGTTGAAGCCTTGGAGTCAATCCACCACACTGATGGCCTTCCTCTTTTTTACTGATCCTCTACTACAACAGGCCTGACACTAAGAGGAAAAAAGTAATATCTACGTGGAAATGACATTGCTCTATTCCAGAATGTTTGCCGGGACATAAAAGAAGTTTTAACAAGTGCTGCCTAAACCATTAACTCAATCAACAGAGATTCTCATATACCTGAGCTCACGCCACCAAAAACCTCCACTTACCAATATGTTTTTGCTCTCCTAAACAACAAGGCAAATTTGGAACGAAGATAGCAGGTGCTATTGCATCCGTCACCTTATACTCATGGCAACCTCACGTGTGTCACCATCAAAATGATGAGATTTAAAATAGTACTGTGCCACCCCAACCAAATGCAAAGCAAAGCAACTAAGTGAAATACTGTAGAAGTTTGCAGAGTTCCTGCATCTGTCTGAGAGCCAGGGAAATTACCTTGAGCAGCAGAGCGTGTTAGCCTGTCTACTCTTGAGAAAGACTCTGTTCTCAGTGACTGACTAGTGACCTGCGGACTCGTGTCTCCCTCAATGTCCCTGCGCAGCCAGCATAGACCCTCTTGGAGCAAGCATGTTCCGAATCACATGGCAATTCCTTTAGGTCATGTCAAAAACTTCCCACAATTTTCTCTCTGAAAAGTGAAATCGAGCGTATGCTCCCATGGCCCCAAGCCCTGAACATGATGCTATATCATCAGGGCAGCCAAGGACCTCCCCAAAGCGCAACCCTAATTCACAGTCACCCCAGGCTTCCAGCCATCTGCACTTCTCAGGCCTCAGGCTGCAAATTGAAAGAATCCTCGTGCTCTGTAGGGCACCATGCATGGCATACTGCTTTGCCGTTGCTACTGAGAAATTAGACCCAGGGTCCCTGTACTGTCGTTTCGCGGTAAGCCCTGCAGATTGTGCGGCTGATCCCACCTGGACCGAAGGGCTCAGCTGCTCTCCCAAGTCCTTTCCAGCTTTCCACAGAGGGTTTCTGTGTTCTAAAAGGGAAAGCTTCTGCTCTGCTTGCTCACTCACCCTCAGCCATATTATCATATGATAAAAAAAATAATATTGATACACTACAACCTTTTTTTTTGCTCTTCTTCCAAGTCATGCCAATTATTAAATGGATTATATGAAGTTTAACAAATCAAAGGGAACATCACCAAAGAGTCATTTTTTTACGAGATTCTATCCAAAGTGAAGCACAGTTTTATCTCCCTTCCTCCACCTTCTTTTACTCTCTTGTCTCCCCTCCTCCCTCACCTTTTGAAAAGTTATACAAATCCTATTTACTATTTGCTAACTGCAATAGCCATATTTAGCTATGAGGAGATGGATGGGGGAGGCATGTCAGAGAACAGACAAGTCACAATGAGGATTTGATGAGAAAGATGATAAAATATACTAATGACAACATTAAAATGCATATATTATATAAAACCCAATTTACTTGAATAAAATGTAGCATCTGTGAATGACTGCATGAAAACCAATATAAAAGTGAAGCATGGTTTTCCTTTCTTTTTAAAAAACACTTACATAGAAAATGATCAAAAGCACTCATATTACCTTGTTAACCTTCACACCTCCTTTTGGAGTTTGTTTCGTTGCTAGATTATACCCAATCATCTGTTTAGCCAGTACTTCTACAACTTTAGGGCTATGGAGAGAGAAAAAGAAAAAAGAAATCCCATTCATTTCCATGTTAAAATATTTTTAAAGAAGTACCTAGATACGTGCATTCCATCCTGCATAGGGTCTACCTCATCTAATTTAATCATCTGTTTTTGCTGAAGATCATCAAGCAGAAATTATAGAGGTGTGGCACCAAGAATATCTCTGTTGGTGTCAGATGGATCTCTGGCTAAAAGCAGAGAATACTAGAAGAATATTTATATGTGTTTTATGATTGTGCTTATATGTAATCTATATCTAAGACCAAGAAGTTGTCATCTGAACAGAGCGAGGGAACACTTCATGGATTAAAATCAGGAAGGATGTGCATCAGGGTTGTATTCTTTCTCTGTACTTACTTTTTTTACACTGAATAATTCATGAAACTGGACTCTATGAAGAAGAATGTGTCATCAGGAGGGGAGGCAGACTCATCAACAACCCATGTTATGCAGATGATACAATATTGCTTGCTGAAGTAGAGAAGGAGTTAAGATGCTTGTTGCATAAGATCAAGGACTATACAGCCTCTAATATGAATTACATCTCAATATCAAGGAAACAAAGCTCCTCACCCCTGGGCCAATATGCAGCCTCATGATACAGGAGGACTGAAGTTATCAATGTTTCACCTTTCTTGGATCAGTAATCAACTCCTTTGGTCCCAACAACCAGGAGACCAGGAGATGAATCACATCGGACAAGTATGTTTCAGGGACCTCTCCAAAATACTGAAGAACAACTATGTCAGTTTGAAGACTAAAGTGCACCTGATTCAGGCTACGGTCTTTTCAATCAGGTGCTACACATCTGAGAGTTGGACTGTGAATAATGATGACAGAGTATGAACAAAGATGCCTTTGAGTTGTGGTGTTGAGAAGAGTACTGAGTCTCTCATGCACTGTCAAGAGAGCAAACAGATCTGTCTTGGAAAAAGCACAGCCAGAGTGCTCCCTGGAGGCAAAAATGAAGACGCTTCGCCTCTTTCATATTTTGCGCATGTTGCTAGGAAAGGCTGTTCCTTGGAAGGCAGCATCAGGCTTGGGAAAGTGGTCAGTAAAGAAGAGGAATAACCCCAGTGAGATGATGGGCCACAGTGCCTGCAGCATGTCAACTATGTCAGAGCCAATGAGGACAGCACAGGATAGGACAGGGTTCAGGTCTGCTGTTTACAGGGTTGCTGTGAGCCGTACTCGACTTGATGGCGCACAACAACAAGAAGAAGAAAATGTTTCTAATATCAGAGATGAGGCAAATCGAGAGGCTGAACAAATGAATGAAATATAAGATGCTTGCTTATCTCTTTTCTTTTCCTCCAATTAAGGTACAACCACAGTAAAGAGGCCATGCTGACTTTATTAATTGAAACCAAAAGTTTCTTAAGCATAACAGATGCAGAAAAGAAATGAAAAAGAATAAAGTATTGACAGTGGGCAATTAAGGAGCACTGAACAATGAATGGACAAGAGACAGGATAAGGGTTATAAGAAAATATGAGAGGAAAATGTGTGATGGTAAGAGACAGGAGAAGAAAGTATGTGGTGCTTAGAAAAAGCCAGCCTGAGATAAAGGAAAGCTTGGACTATCTGAGAGCACACACATCTGAGGTCACAGTAAAGGACAGCGATGCTTGCTTCGTCAACAGGGCTGTGCCACTGTAGAAGCAGCAGCTAATCTGCAAGGTGCATCATTCCCATCACTAATGACAAATGACTGGTTGTTCTAGGAGAAGAGGAGCAGTAAGCTTTCACAAGATGTTGCTAAGTGTTGTCGAGACGACTACAACTCATAATTACCCTGGGAATAAGCCCATCCTGCGCAAAGGCTTGCCCCAGCCTCCGATCCACTGCTACAGTCACCGTGCCATCCGTTTTGAGGGTCTTCTTCTTTTTCAATGGCCAAAATACTGTCCTTCTGTAAGGACTATCACCTACTTACAACATGACCAAATCATGCTTGACACTAAGAAAAAATTGTTTTAATGGAAAAGGGGAGGGAAAAAAACAGTGTCAAAGCTGTGTCTTTTCCTTTTCTATATCTGGTACCTTACCCCAGCCTTCCTTCTCAGTTTCCTTTTCAACCATGAACAAGATACTCCATTAACTGCTTGGCCTACAGAAAAGAAATGAAAAGCTGTAGACTTACTCTTTTGTTAAATGAACGCCACCTTTCAGTCCGCTGTTGAAGATACCTTTTCCTCTTCCTCCAGCTAAGATCTGCGCTTTTAAAACGATTTCTTTTGCATCTAAAAAAAATAAATAAAAATAAATGAATCTAGGATTGTCAAGTGCTTTAAAATTTTCCATTTCTTAAGAGTTACAAAGAAAATGGTACTGGCATGACTTCTAAAACTAACTAGCGAGAGTTCTCTCAAGCCAACACTGGAAACAAACTTCAGGAACACCAGTGTGCCTGAAGACAAAGTTTGCTTATTGAAGACATTCAAAGGTTTACTTTTTGGTTTAGTTATCATCTTATACTCACTCCATCCCAGGGAATCAAAAGCATGGGTTCTCTTGTTCTTTTTAATTCAACAGAAGAAAGATGCTAAGTACATCCAGGACCGGAGTATTCAATTCACTGGGTAATGACACTCACATGTGGCAGACACCAATCAGCCACTGAGAGAACTAACCGCCTATCAGCCATCTGAGATGACTAAGGAAAAGCTGGACTATGTGGGGCTTATGTTTCAAAGTAGAGTGGCATTTACTTCCTAGACAACATGCCTCTGGGAACTCTGAACTTTAAGAAATGATAATTACAGAAAGGTTTCAAGTCTTTTGTTCAGAGTGTCGCTATGAGTTGTGCTCAACTTGGCCATCAATCAACAAGAAGATGTTTCAAAGACAGCAAAAGCTGTATTGAGCAACTCCACCTGCAGAGTGTGCACTGCTAACCAAAAAGCAGCATCTCAGGGGCTCCAATCAACCAGCCGCTCCAAGGAAGAAAGAAGCATGAGCTGTCTGCACCTGCTATGATTTACAGACTCAGAAGGCCAGTGGAAAGTCAACAGTGAGCCAGGCCCAACCCCAAAGACTTAATTCATGTAAACCATCAGTTTCCTGTGCATTTATTCAGTATTTTGATAGGTATGGGGTAAAGAAAGACAAAATGGATTAAAACTGAAAGCAAGTAACATCTTAAACGTTTTTGGAAGGTGATAAAAACACTCCAGTAGAAAGTGGCAGTTGAATCTTCATTGTTAACTACACTGAGGAAAGTGTAAAACTGCCTGCTCTTGACCTTTAAGTCTAGAATCATAAACCTGAATACTTTTATGGGCCTGGTAGACCACTGGCCCTGGTAAGCAGCTAATAAGGCCTCTACCAAACAGGAGATGTTACCTCTACAATCACAACCAAAAAACAGGGGAGCACCCACGGCTTTAAGGCATTACCTCTTCAGACTAACTGGCATTCTCTGTTCATAATCCATCCTTTAACACAGCAGGGAAGAAAATCAACGACTTTTCTTTACTAGTGATGGTCTAGCCAATCTTGTCTGATATAAACACCATATGTGTCAGAGTGACATAGGCCACAGAGGGTTTTCACAGACTGTGATATTTGGAATGACATCACCTGGCCTTCCATGCAGAGCACTTCTGAACAAATTTAAGCCAACAAGGCTTAGTAGCTGAGGGCTTAGCAATTTACATCACAGAGGGACTCCTAAAATCCTCCACAAGACAGTAACAATTCTCTGCTGACCTGGGTTTCAATTCAGTTTCATCTCCTACCTAACTATGTGACATTGGGAGCAAGATACTCATTTTCTCTCAGCCTCACCCTATTCAACTGTATAACAACTAGGAGAGTTACTTCAAGAACTGAATGATGATGTATATTAAGTCTTTATTCCAGAGTCCAAAACGTGGGAGATTACTTAAGCACTACTGCCACCATCAATAAGTTCATTATTATTCATTTATAAAATAAATAATAAAAAGGAAGGGAAAGACAATATAGAATAATGATTTTAATACTAATTAATTATGCTAATTAATATTTTTACATTAATATTTCATTATATTAATGAAATTAATTGTTAATAAATAGTAATTAATGTTAGAAGACAAAACATCTGTGAATGACTGAATGAAAAACCAGTATGATTTTCAAAAGTTCACCCAAATAAAAACAGTAAGTAAAAATAAAAATTTTAAAAAGCAGAGTTGCAAATAAAGATGAATTTAAAAAGAAACAAACCCAAAGGACCATTTCCCCTAGAGATGGTAGCAAAATTACCATCAACTGCATCACAAATATCTAAAGCCATTCACTTAAGTGAGAGCTCCCTAAATGTGGACCATTTCAGCTACTACTGTCACTTTGTACTCATAGGAAAGCTTAGATAAAAGTTTAAACAGACACACTCTGGGGGCTGGGCAGTACTGGGGGAGGGGGAAGCACACCCCAGGGGCCAGACCCAGCCCTGAAGTGTGCTGCCCAGTCCCTGGGTTGTGCAACCCAGCCCCAGGGAGAGCCATGGAGCCCCTGGGATGTGTCATCAGGCCCCCCAGGGAGTGACACTCAGTGCCTGGGGAGAGCCCCCCAGCCCCTGGGGAGAGTCCTCAGGTTGCTGGGGAGAGCAACCTAGTGTATAGGAGCAATTTTATCTAAGCCACTTTTCTCCACATCCTTCCCCAGTACATTTGTAATTCACAAGTTTGTTCTCTCTCGGTTTGCTCCCTTTCCTATAGGTGACCTTAACACTGAGTCTTGCTCCAGACCATGAGCCTAGTTCCAAAGACAAAAGGGAAATATAACTGCCAGCTAAGGAAGCAAAGGAGGATAAACCCTCAGGGTTCAACCATCCATACACACTGGACTCACCTTGGCAAACACTCTGCAGTCCAGAAGGCAGAAAGTGTCAGGAAAATATCTTCCAACTGAACAAGAAGCCATGCAGCCTCAACCCAGGACCATCAGTAAAGTGTTAAAAGTGTGCTCCCCTTCCCCTTTCACCTCAACGCCCCTGTTAAGCATGAAGAAGCCAGAGAGTCTGCGCCCCATTCCCAAATGAGAAACACATAAGTGACTAAGGCAATTTCTTTCTTTAAAAAAAAATCACCATTGGACTATACTCACCCTGTCTTTACTGGTCCCCACTGGATCTTTCTCATTTCCTTCACCCACTTCCCCAACCACCAAATTGTGCAGCCCTGTGATTTCATCCCTGGCCATCCTCACTCTTCTGCTTCAAACCCTTACCTCCTTGTAGCCCCATTCATGTTTTCTTACAATTAAAAAAACAAAAAGAGTTGAAACAGAAAGAGCCACAGACATTTTTTCATGTGAAAAAAATGAAGGTCGACACAATGTGGTTTTGGGATCAGATACACCCAGGGGATGGGATATGTTTACAGCAGTCATTGTCTTTAATGATTAACTTTCCTTTTTTCTATCCAAACAACCAAGGCTTTCTGAATTGAATACTTCTTTGTTACCCTCTGTGGATCCATCACAGTGGTTCTACCCTGAAGAGAAACGACCCTACAATCAGTTAGAAGGTAACTTCAACTGATTGTCAAAAACTTGAACAGAAGACTAGCCATGATCAGAACTCATGGTCAGAAACCGAGAAGAGGAACAAAAGGGAGAGAATTTTTTTTATATTTTGGCTATTGTTGTTATGTGCTCTTGAGAGCGACCGTATATACAGCAGCTCTGAAGCCTGAACTGTTCTGAACCTGTCTCTGATTCTGATGCATCAACCCCCATTGCCCTAGTTACTGTATCAATCCATCTCATCCAGGGTCTTCCTCTCCTGTGCTCTCCCTCCAAGCATGGTGTCTTTCACCAAGGATGGGTCCCTCTTGGCCACGTGCCCAAAGTATGTGAGATGGAGGTTCAAAATCTTAGCCTTCACAGAGAAACTTGATTTCACCCTCTCCAAGACAAACTTATTTGTTTTCTTGGTGGTCCACTGTATATTCAAGACTCTTCTTCAGCAGCACCACAACTCAAATGCATCGATTCTACTTCAGTCATCTTTAGTCACTGTCCAACTCTCTGGTGTATAGAAAGTAACTGAGAAGACCATGGCCTGGATTAGGCACACCTTAGTCTCGAGACTGACACTGTTGCTTTTCAGTACTCTGGAAAGATCTCTGACAGCAGATTTTCCCAATGCAATTTATCTTTTGATTTCCTGACTGCTGGTGCCAAGAATTTTGATTGCAGAGCCAAACAAGCTGTAATTGTTAACAACCACAATCTCTTTTCAATCTATTATCTATTTGAGCTACTCTGTAAAAACAAAACAAAAAACTAGATATATAAAGACCTGGCACAAACACACAAAAATCTCCAACTTCACCTATTACTCTGTTTTTAAAAACAATGACAATCCTAACTACAATGTCCAGCTCTCTGATGCATAACAAGTGACTGGAAAGGATGACAGAAGAATTGACGCCTTTGAGCAGTGGTGTTGGAGAAGAGCACTGAACATCTCATTGACTGCAAAAAGAACAAACAAATTTGCCTTGAAAAGAGTGCTCTTTGGAAGCACAGATGATCAAGCTTTGCCTCACAAATTTTGGGCATGTTGCTAGGAGGGGCTATTCCTTGGAGAGGAACATGATGGTTGGAAACATTGAGGGTCAGTGAAGGAGAGGAAGATCCTCACCCATGTGGCTTGACATGGTGACTGCCACTATGGGGAGAGAGGATTGCATAGACAGGGCAGGGTTCGGATCTATTGTTCATAGGGTCACTATGTGTCTTACTGGATTCTATGGCACCTAAAAACATAACAACTGCCATGGCATGGATTTGATCACAAAGATGCCTTCCACCAGGCTTCCATGATGGGATGAGGCCACCACAGACCTAATCTGTGAGTTCTAATCACAGACCTTTTGGTTAGTAATGTGACATGTAACACATTACACCAAATTAACTCATTTCTGAAATGTCAACAAATAAAGGTATTTATATTTTTATGCTGATGTTACAAATGAAAATGCAAATAATGTGCTTAGCTCACAGCCTGGTACATTTAAGAAACTGTCAAAAATTATTATTTACCATAGAGTCAGAATGACTAACCCTCTGGCAGGTTTTCAAAGGGAGGAGATCACCCATCTTTGTTCAATGGAGCAGCTGGTGGCCTCAAAGTGCATGCCTCCGGGACTGCAGTGCATCTTCTTATAGATGCAAAGATAGATGATAGATAGATAGATAGATAGATAGATAGATAGATAGATAGATAGATAGAAAGATAAGATAGAGAGAT